CCCCCCCGCCGCTGCCGGCCAGCCCTGCTCCTTCCTGGCTGGCCTGAGTAGTCTAAAGCTCCCTCTCGCTCTGCAGGTGTGTATCAGACTCAGGACACCTACCCCAGGCACCTACTCACTCGTACACATTTTATTTCCCCATCTAACTCCCGAACTCAAGACCAACCCCGTACGTGGTCACAGGAATTCATGGGAAGTGCCGTCCACGTTCTGAAGGACAGGCACCGGAGGCCGAGATTCCTGGGAAGCTCCATTCCCACAAGCTTTCTACACAAGCTGGCTGAGGGGATGCCCGGCTCAGTGGCTCTCATACTGGGGGGCTGAGGAGCCTGAACATCCACGGTGCCCTCACCAGCCAGGTGCCACATTTCACTGATCTTTTATAGCAACCACCCAGGCCTGGGGGACTCACTCTGGACCTTGCTGGGGATGGCAGTGGGGTCAAATGTTTGGCTTTGGGGGCTCTCCATTCATCCCTGGTGAATGTCCCCCCTTGTAGTGAGGCTCTCTCACTGGCTGGGAAAGGCCAAAGAGAAGACAGCGTATGGAACGCATTGGCCAACGGATGGTACGGTCTGGTCCCGGGAGGCCACCCTGAGAAGCCCACGTGGCCCTTTCGGGCAGCGGCTTTGGTCTCACGCAGGAGCCTGGTTCAGCTCTGTTGCCTGTGTGTCCCCAAGGACACAGGCTGTCATGAGATGTGCTGACGGATGCCTCTCCCTTGAGCACGTACCCAACTAGTTTAGGTATTAGGAGGTGGGGACCTCTGGGAGGTGCTTAAGAGCTCCCTTCCTAAATGTGATCAGTGCCAGGATAGAGGGTCCAGAGAGATGCCTTGCCCTTCTACCGTGTGGGGATACAACCAGAAGTCTGTGACCGGAAGGGGACACCGACCATGGTGGCAGCCTGACCTCGGACCACAGCCTCCAGAACCGTGCTGTATGTAAGCACCCAGGCTGTGGAGCTGTGTTATAGCAGCTTGAACAGACTAAGACAGATGCCAGCTCTTTTAGGGGTCCGGGACCTGTCCTCATGGACCACCCCTGAAGCGTAAAGTCTCTCGGCACTTGGGCAGGCCCCGCAATAACTGAGCACTGGACAGACACTCACGAGCGGTTTCTATGCGGTCACAAGATGCATCAGGTGTGACGGTACCTTCTTGACCAGCTTTGATCTGGCCCGCTCAGGGTGGCGGACTCCCAAGCACCATGGGTGCCTTTTCCGGGAGATGGCCTCAGGGTGGCTGCCGAGGGCATACTCTCAAATCACACAGACTGGGCTCCGGTCCCCGGCTCTCTTTCCACCTGTGTGACCTTGGGTAAACAGCCTAAGTTCTTGAGCCTCAGTTTCCTTCCCTTTAAAACAGCGATGCAAATGCATAGCACTGTATGCTAATTATACTAGAAGAAAAAAATGCAAAATGAAAACCCAGGAGGCAGGGACCACGCTTCTGTGGTGGGGTTTCTGGGGAGTTACAGAGATGATGCTCTGGAAGTCCTGGGTGCAGTCAGGGCTGCTCGGTCAGCTCTCCTCCCTCATCCTCCAAAATACCAGGAAACCCCAGAGCTGAGGTATTCAGTGGGGTCTACCGCGGATTCACAGAAACGAGGGGCTACTTAGGGACTGATTCTAATGTTAGTATCGACGTGCCTAAACACTGGCTGACTCACAGGAGTCTGCAGGGTGACAGGCTGCCCCCAGGGGGGAAGGAAGGATACCCAAGGATGTGCGCTATGGAGGGGGGCGGCCGCCGCCGGGAGACAGACCGCAAGGGGGCTGCCTCTCCAGGACAAAGGCTCCTGGGCTGCCTGCGCTCCCTTCCCGCAGCAGCATCCCCCCCCCCCGCCGCCCCCCCCCCCCCCCAGCCTGGGAGCAGCTCCGGCATCCCAGCTATGCAGTCCTGCTGGGACAAGAGCCAAACTTGAAAAATACCTTCCAGTGGGGAAGCGCCCCGCAAGGCCCCTCCCCGCAGTGCCCCTCCGGCAACTCTGGAGGGGAGGGCACTTGGGGGCTCATCCTTACACAGTTTCCCCCCAAGCTCTGCCTCCACGGATCCCCCAGAGAGTTCTCTCCAGGCCCTCTGAGGCCACATTTTTCGTAGGGGCAGGAGAAAGGCAGGCTGGCCACGGAGCAGAAACACCACTTCGCCCCTGCCTGGAGTTTATTCTAGGACCTGGCTGGTGCCTGGCTTTGCCTCTGACAGAGAGTTGCTGCTTTCTCTGTAGCAGGAATTTTTATTTATAGCCAGAGTAAGACTGTTTGGGCTGAGATTTTTATGCCAGGAGGGGGGCTGCCTGTCTGGAGACGGCAGATTTCTGCAGAAGATCTAGGCGTGCCAGAGCCAAGTTCCTGCAAAAGAAAGCAGTTAGGAGGGGCTGCCTGGTCCCTGCCATCAGCCTCGGTCACAATTTGTCAGAGTGCCAGCAAAACCCGTTTGGGGATGACGATGCCTGCTGGTCAGTGAGGTGCTAAGGGTTTTGCACGAATCCTCTCATTTAATCTACACCAAGGGCTGTTACGATCCTTGTCACAAAGACGGAGAAACGGGCTGAGAGTGCAGGCTACGCACCCGATAACACACGGCTTGGCTCCTGAGAGACGTGTGGGGCATCTCACTGTCAGCGAGGGTTCTGGGCAGGTGACAGGCCCCACCCTGTCATCCCACGGCTCCGCAGGATACAGCCTCCTAACTCGCTGGGAAATCTCCTTGGCTAAGTGTTTTGCGATGACCAGCATGCAAAAGGCAGTGAGCTGAGGCCCGATATACGAGCCAGGGATGCAGAGATAACATCTGCCCTCACAGAGACGGGAGACGCGGGAAGTGGCCACCCGTTCTGAAAACATACACTCGAAAGAACCACCAAGAGTCTTCCGGGTGGAAAAAACGGTGGAGGTTGACGACCGTACATGTTAACAGGCCATTCACACGCTAAGAAGCAAAGCCACCCAAAGCTGGCCAGGCATGCAGTTTTCAATGACACTTTATCTCCAGCAGAGTCTTGGCGTGAACCATGACTGGGGAGGAGCCCTGTGCTGTGCTGGCAAGAAAGCAGGAGAAGAGATCTTCAAAAGGAAACTTCTGGCTCCTCGCTGTAACAGACATCCCATTCACTTCCCCTGATTATCAGGAAGAACGAGGGTGCCGGAGGCGGCAGAGAGGGTGCCAGCGGCTGAGGGCTACGGCCACAGGCCCGAGGGCCTCGATGGCTCTGCGTTTCCACGGTGACTTGCGCCCCAAGCTCTGGAGAACCCGCAACTCCACCAGTCACAGGGAGACGCAATCATCCGAGCGAATGGACTCACTGTCGTAAAGCGTCTGGGAAGGACAGAAGTTGCCAGAGATTGGTCATCACTGCACACTCTTGGCTCCAGCGAGGCTTATGACTTCAGTGGTTCTGGACGCTGCTCACCAACACAGATAAGCTATTGGACAGCTGGTTTTCAGGCTTAAATTCATCATTTGTGAGAAAACACACTCCAGGGAGGCTGCTGTTCTAGCGTTGCTTGGGCCTCCTTCCCGTACGCGGAGTCACTGGGAACCCCGCAGCTCAGCACCGGTCCTGGGCTCACACTTCCCTGAAACCAGAGACTGTGAGTGTGAACACAACCAACACAGCACGGGGCTACGCCGTTCCTCTTGGAGGAAAGTCCAGCTCACAGCCGCCGCACGACACCCCCCGCCATCTCCGGGGGACGGATCTCCTGCGGACAAGTACGTCCGACGACTTGGCTCCTAAGGGATGGGAGGTCCCCAGGAA